ACAGCAAGCCTGGGATGTGAAGAGATGGCATCGTACACTCATATTCAAGAAGCTACTGAAAAGCTTGAGTTCTTCTGTTGCAGAGGGGAAACAGGCCTGATGGGGACCATATGTGCAGCACACACTTTCAGAAATTTCAGAAATACGTAAGAACATATCATAACTACCTTTTCACTTTTTATTTTGATTAAAATACAATTGCATCATTTCTCCCTTTTCTCCTTCCAACTCCTCCCACCAGCCCCCACTCCCTCCCAAACTCACTGCATCTTTATGATTATTATTATTATTGCTTCACATACACACACACACACAAATACATAAGTACAGCATGCAGAATTCATTTAGTGTCATATTGTTTCAGTATCATGAGTATTTGCTTCCTTGTCATTTCTAGGGGACAGAATTTAACAGTGGAATTCATGGCTTTATAACAAAAGAAAGAAAGAAAGAAGGAAAGGGAGAAAGCAAGCAAACACATATCAAAATTGTGTATGGGAATTGTGTATGGTCTGCAAGAGTAACTCCTCTGCCTACTCCCAAGGCATCCTCAGATCCACTCCATCGCTTCAGGGTGTTTAGACACCCATGCCCCTCTTCTATATACCTTGCTTGCTGTTCACAGCCAAAGGCAGTAACTTGTCTTCTCTAAGCTTCTCTTAAAGCTGCTGGAACTCCCTGGCATCCCTGGTGCCAACCACAGAGCGGCTGCAGTGTCTGAGCTTACTCTTGGAACCCATGCTGGAGGTAGTACCTAGCAAAGGAATTCTAAGGAGTCCAAAGACTCTTTTAATCTCATAGTACAGAAGAGGAATTTGTGTTTCAGAGAAGATTTATAATCTGCTGGAATGACTGAGTCCTCTTTCCTGACCACAGAGCCTGTATTTTTCATTGTGTGACACAGAGATCAAGGTCCCTTTCATAGAGCCTTGCATACAGTAGGTCCTCAATATTTGTTGAGTAAGTGAATGAATACTACAATACACTTTGTTTTGAGTCTCAGTGTGTTAACTGTGTACAAATAAGACCATCATAGCAGGACCGTGTCCATTTTAGGTGGGCAGATTCTCTCCCATTAGCCCCACCTCAGTTCGATTAGACGTAACATGGGTATTCAAGCTGAAGGGAAACCAACATTTTGTTATGGGTGGAAGAGATGGACAACTTTTGTGCAGATGTACTTTTCCTCTCTACGTCTGTATCAATGTCAGGCACTGTAGCTGACCATCGTTGAGAAAGATAAAACCCAAACTCAGAGAGATTTAACAGAAGTCAGGGTTTCAGGCTCCCTTTTGGATTCTTTTTCTCCTGTGCTTGTTATATTTGACAGAAAGAGGAACTAAAAGCCAAAGTTTCCTCATCTCATTGAGGATTAATGACAGGAAATGAAGGCATTGAAAACAGCAGTTTTACTCATGTGAATGCTGGGAAACCCACATTGGAGACACAGTGTGTATTCACTTGGTACAACCCTTTGGACTGGCAATCTTATCAAAGTATATTCAAACTTTGTGCCCTTTGATCACAAAGTCTACTTTTTGGAGAAAGCATGCACTTGGATATAGAAAAATATATTAACCCAAGGAGGTATACTGTAATGTTTAATGTAGCAACAGAGATGTAGCTCACCTAAGTGCCCATGACTATGGGTCTAGGTAAGCTAGCTGTGGTGTACTGGATACTGGAATATCAGAGGTCATTTAGAAGATTTTATTTCAGTAGTCAGCATATTGAATGCTGTCAATGGAAGCAACATGGGAAGAAATCATGTAACCAATAGGACATGGTATGCTATGCTTTTGTGACACGATGAAGACCTGTCTATATATGTGTGGATACATGTGTACATGTGTGTAAATATGTATATATGTAAATATGTGTTTTATTTGTTCATTAATATAAGAAGAGGCCAAGGAAGGAAAAATTTATTTTCTATATCTATCACTTTGCTCCAAGTGTATTTATTGTGTTTATTGCCAAAAACAGTACTTAGGGCAAGAGAAATGGATCGGTGGTTAAGAGTGCTTGAGAGAATCTGAATTCACACACCAGACCCCAGTTTGGATGGCTCACAGCCATCTTTACCTCCAGCTTCAGGGAATCTGGTGCCCTCTTCTAACCTCCAAAGGCTCCTGAACACACTTGGTGCACACAAACACATGTAGGCTCACACAGACACATATCAATAAAAATAAACCTGTCTTAGAAAAAATTAGCAACGGATGTTGTAAACGGATGGTCGTGGGTGGGTGGGGGGAAGGTCTCATCTTATTTTGTAGGCAAGAAGGAGGCAAAGAGCTGTTACACAGTAACTATTTTTGAACTTTGCCCTTACAGGTGACATGAAAGAAAGCACAGAGCAAACTGGTGAAGGAACGTGGGGCGAAAGGGTCAGAGATAAGGAAAGCAGACTTGAAGCAAAGCAAGACCAGCATTTCCCGCTCCACTTTCAGGTCTACAGCTTAGATCTGGCATGAGGGAAAAACTCCCCAGTTCTCAGGAAAAATGGATCCTGGGAGTAAACAGGAGCATCAACTTCAAGCTGAATTCCAGGAAAAAAACCTACAAAAAACAGATCAATCCTTACCAACCACACTCTTAGCAAACACCTTGTTTGGTGGGAAGGAAGACTAGGAGGAACTCTCCAAACTTGTGTTTGGTGGCTGGGTGGTGCTAAGCCTCTGAGATCTGTCTTGTTTCAGGAGATCTGTGTTACTCATCCAGGAGAGTGAACGACTTGGAAACCCACTGTGATGGCTAATTTCAACTCTAAAATCGTCTAGGGGACAAGCCAATGGGCCTGTTTCTGGGAAATTTTCTAGATAGGATTTTCTAATTGGGGTAGCAAGATCCACCCTAACTATGCACAGCACCATGCTATGGGTTGGGACCCCAGTCTAGAACTGAGTGCTAGCTCTCATTGCCCTGCACTTCCTGACTGAAGATGCAAAAGGGCTAGGCATCTCATGCTACCTCGGTACCTTCTTCGCCATGGTGAACAAGACTTTCAAGCCATGAGCCCGCATCAGCCCTTTCTGTTCTGAAGCTGTTTTCATCACAGCAACGACTAAAGCACCTAATATGCCTGCCTCCATATGGGAAGGCTTCCTGGAGAGTGTGCACTGAGATTGGGACTTGATGGGTCGGTATATGACATCTGTGGAGGTCAAAGGCAGAGGAGAATTTGGGCTGACTGGGGACAGAGAAGGCCAAGGGCACTGGAGGGCTGTGGAGGTTGGGAACCAAGGTGACTATGAAAGAGGGATGCGCTGAGAGGGAACCACATGCTGTGGGAAGTGTCTAGAGCAAGCTGGAAAGTGAGAAAGACAATCATGTTGGGGAAATTACCTCTTGAAAATCATGACACCTGGACCACCTCCCCAGCTGTGGTGTGGAGAATAGATGGAGACCCCTGAGCAGGCTGGATTTGGGGAAAGAGTTGAAAGCCCACTCTGAGGTGAAAAAGAGTGGATTAAGTTGGATTGGAGAGGAAGAATATAGTGTCTCATGACTCATTTGCAGGCAGCAGGGACCAACCTCACCCAGGGTTTTGTGGTTTGAGGGAGGGGGGCGCCTTGGAAGTTCCCAGTTTAAGCAATTGTGTGCCCAGGATATTGATGCTTATTACTTAAATAAAGACCAGGAGGAATGCACGTTAGAGGAGAAACTTCATGTTGAGTTTGACCTACTATAGATGTCCCTGCTCTAATAACCCTGCAGGCCCGTCAGCATCATGGTAGTAATATCATGTGTCTTTTCATGGTTTCTCATTGTCTGTTTGTTCTCACTTCAGTCTCTGTAGGACTTAGGAGCCATGGGCTACTATTTAAACCCCATCCTCACTCACGTTCTCAGCTCTCTGTCTTTACCCAGTGTTAAGGACTGCAGGGCTTCATGTTGACTCCCCCAATTCTTATGGCTAAACCCTAATCCCAGTAGAGATAGCCTAGTTACCCGAGTAGAAGTAATTAGAATGAGGTCCTTGAGGGAGGGCTCAAATGAATCATTTGGTGTTTTTATACAAACTTCAAACTAGGCTGTTGCAGAGAGACCTCCTCCGCTAACACAGACACAGAAGAAGGGGCAGCCTGAAAGCCGAGTGGACCAGCTGTGCAAACACCTTGGTCTTGAACTTCCAGCCTCCAGAACTGTAAGACAATAAGTTTCTTTTGCTGCAGCCATCCAATGTACGGTGCTGTTATGGGCTCTCTAGCGGATGACTACTGACCCAGTGTGTCCCCAGCTGCAGCCTTTTTCCGGTTTTTGTCTGAGAAGTGGGTGTGGCTGGACAAACAAACACTAGCCTTTCCTTGAACTTTTGACCATTTAATGACACCCTGAGAACTCATCCATCCCCCCACCCAACGCATAAGCCTGATTAGTCTCCATCAGTGTTCCGCTATCCCTATCCCTGCTGGAGCTTTCCTTTTACTCTGTGGAAAAAGGAAATCGGGAGAGAACGCCCTTCGGTCATTATCACCAAAACTTCTACAATCTCAACCCCCAAGCTGTATTCTCCACCCCACCCCCACCATGCCTCGGATTCCTCGCCCCCCTCTCGTGCATTTGTCAAATGTTACTGGACCCGTGAGTCAGCTTGTGGGCCTCCAAAAGTGCTCGAGAAGTCTGATCTCAGAACAGCATGCTCTTTCCTGAATCCCAGAGTGTTACTTTCTTATCGTTGTGAAAAAATAGCCAACAGAATAACTGAAAAGAGAAAAAAATTCACTTTAGCTCAAGCTTTAGAGGGGTCAGTTCATGATCTCTCGGCCGTGTGCTTTGGGTAGAATATTATGTGGCGTAGGAGAGTTGTTGATTTCATTACTAACCTGGAAACACAGAACTGGACAGCAAGTTGCCAGGGATAACACAGCATGAAAGACCTTTATTCAGTGACTCAATTCCTCCATCTCAACCCCGACTCCTAAACATACACAGTCTTCCAAAATAGCACCCCTGCCTGAGTCCCAAGAGTTCAAAAATCAATAACCTCCAAAGGATGTTACCCATCCCGATCACAGTGCCAAGCACCGTCCACTTGTGTCCTTATTTCTCTGTTCCCTTTGACCCAAACAAGCAAACGACAAGCAAACTCCCCTTTTTAATATAGTTGCCCTCTAACTCACTGATATCACCTTCACGTTCTCTTGAACCCTCTGTGCTGGGCTGTGTCCTCCTCTGAAAATGCTCCCTCTGGAGGATGGGAAGAAGGGTCAGCCTTTGAGTGTTTGCTGCTCTTGCACTGGAGTTTGTTCCTGCATCTACATCAGGCAGTTTCCAACCATTTGCAGCTTCAACTCTGGGGCACCTGATGCCTTATTTTGACCTGTATGGGCACCACACATATGAGCCTGAATACACAAACACACACACACACACACACACACACACACACACACACACGATTTTTTTTTAAACTTTCCCTGAGTAAGAGTAAGATTTACAGAAGTGAGAGAATGGGAAAAGCCCAGAGACAAAAGGCAGAGGGGATAATATGAGAAAGCTGGCAAGAAACAAGCTAGTCTACAACTGGACATTTATAACTAAAAATAAACCTCGGTGTGATTTATTTGGTTGCCCTCCCCCTCAAAAAAGCCAAAAAGAGTAAAAAGGATCATATTACTACAGTCGGTACTGATGACCCGAATTCAGCCTCTGGGACACCCATAGTAGAGGGAGAGAAAGGACACCTCAAGGTTGTCCTTTGACCTCTACTTGCTTTTGTGGCATATATTCTCTCTCTCTCTCTCTCTCTCTCTCTCTCTCTCTCTCTCTCTCACACACACACACACACACACACACAGAGAGAGAGAGAGAGAGAGAGAGAGAGAGAGAGAGAGAGATGGCAAATGGAGAAGCAAAATGGCAACAAAAATTTTAAAAAATGTAAAAGCACTAAAACAAAAAATAGAATCCTCCTGTCCCCCAGAGCTGCAGAGCCCGGCTCTCCTGCTGCCCTCAACACTATCCCCTCTTGATGCTCTAGTCTAGCTACAATGGCTGCTCTTGTGCATCTTAAAACAAATCCAGTGGCTTTACTACCTCAGCTTTTACATCTAATATTCCCTATGCCTGGAACATGACTGTCACAAGTGGATCATAATGCATGATTTCCATGGGACACATGTGAGTGGAGGTCAAAGCGCAACTTCGAGGCTGCTCTTCTGTACCTTAAAGATCTTGGGGCAGGATTTTACCAAAGCTCAGAAGTAGAGGTTGGGGCATTCATTGCCAGCCATCCAGTGAATAGAGGGAGGGAGAGAGAGAGGGAGAGGGAGAGAGAGAGAGAGGAGAAGAGGGAGGGGGAGGGAGGAAGAGGGAGATGGGGTAAGGAGGGAGAGAGGGAGGGAGGGGGGAAGGAGGGAGGGAGGGAGGAAGACAAAGTGGAGAGGAAAGGGAGGGAGGGAGAGGGAGAGGGAGAGGGAGAGGGAGAGGGAGAGGGAGAGAGAGAGAGAGAGACTTTACCCTCCAGGGAGCATCAGGTGCACAGGTGACAGAAGGTGCCTGCCCAGGAGTGTTCCCAAGCTGTTTGTGCACCTGAAGAGGCTCAAGTGCCGGCTTCCTCTGGAAACTGAGGCTCCGGAGTCTGGAAGTAAGCAGCTGGAGTGCCTGTTGCCATCCTTAAAGTTTCATTCGTCCTCCAGTCACCCCTTGACGCTTTAAAGAAGGGGTAGAGGGTGGGAAAGGAAACCGATAAAAGGCAAGTGAAAGAAAGGAGGAGGGGCAGGCTTTGACCCTGTCAGCACTGTGCTCTCTTCCTGCCTAGCCTGGGCTGATCTCCAAGGAGCCCCATGGCCGACTACGAATTTAGCCAGGTGTCTGGGGACAGACCCTGCTGCCATCTCTCTAGGAAAGCCAAGATCTGTCTCGGAGTGGGTCTCGTGGTCCTGATTGCCTCGGTAGTGACAGTGGTCATAGTTCTGTGGCCGCGGGCACCCATGGTGTGGAAAGGCAAGCCTACCCCGAAGCACTTTTCTGAGCTCTTCCTGGGACGGTGTCTCGTTTACACTCAAATCCTCCGGCCTGAGATGAGGTGAGTTGGCATTGGGAAGCACACGCTGGTCACGGCGGTGGGGCGCACAGCTGAACTCCGGGGAGGCTGGCTGTGACTCAGCTGGAGCTCGTGCGCGCGGGGGAGCGTTCCGACTGTTCCAAACAAAGAATCTTGTGTTGCGGGTCAGCTGGGAGCCGAGGGGGCAGTGATGAGGATTGGGATGAGCCCCAAATTCCATGTGCAAATTACCAGAGCACAGCCCCTCCCCCCAACCACCTGGGGGCGGGGGGTTTCAGGACATACGAGGTGGGTGCTGATTCTTGCTGAGCTCCCCAAAGATACTTGACCCCCCACAGCGGGTCCTGAGCTGGGTTTTGGGGGCCATCCTTGGCCACAGCTGCACTGCAGGAACAGAATATGACTCGCAGGCACAGGGACTTGACATGGTCACTTGACTTGCGGTTTCTATCTGCCACTGTCCGTGCCCGGAAATTTATGGTCACAGGTGACACTTGACCAAGTAGTTTACTGAGCATGCTGTGGGAATGGAGGGAGTCAGAAAGAACAGATGTCTCTCTTGAATTTTATTTATCTTTATAAAACAGCATCCTGAGGTGGTAGTTCATGCATGTAACCCCAGCACTAAGGAGGCTGGTACAGGAAGATTGCTGTGAGTTCAAGATTATCCGGGGCTGCATAGCTACACTGTAAATTCTGGGACTGACTTGAGTTGCAAAGGGAGACCAACCTTAAAATAAGTGCATTAATTAATCAAAACACACAGCAAACAAAAACCTAGCTGAGACAGCATCGTGACTCTTTGCACTTGATCTTAAATAAAACAAAGCAATCAGACTTTAAAAACTGAAATATTGCCCATCAGATACACTGAATCAGCCTGGTGGACCTGTGCAGACCCTGGGGAACAGTGCCTTCATCAGCCCAAAGGAATCAGCCCAAATACCCACTTCCACCAAAGGGATGGAGGGTTTGTTGCATGTCTACCCCCCAGGCATCTTAGTGTAGAACTGATGTCTGAAGTCAAACAGAAGCGCCACAGGCTGGGAAGGCATGCCCAGAGCCTGCTTTCACATCCCGTCGTCAGAGGCACAAGCTAGATGCTGTGGTGTGGGTCCTGGTTTTACTTGAAAGTGTACGAGTAGAATTACTTTCAGAGTCCTGCTAAGTGTTTTGTTTACTGATTTTTAAATGATATTGGTTGTTCGATAATTTCGGGTAAATTCACTGTGCTTCGCAAACCGGATGTGTGAAATTGGCATGATGTGTGATTAGTATTAACCCTGTGGAGTGTAGATTGACAAGTGCTGGCTCTACCGATCCACTCACGTGTATGTATAAGCATTCAGCAGGTACAAATTATTTGTGTCTGTCAGATCATAATCAATCCAAAAATAACAGGATTGATTAATAAAATCGCGCATATTTACTTCATGTGTGTGTGTGCACATGCGTGTGTACACATGTCCCACCACATACAATTGAAGGTCATAACATCAGCTTTCTCACTCACAATGTAGACTCTGGAAATCCAATTCAAGTCATTGGGTTTAGAAGCAAGCATCCCTACCAACTGGTCCCCCTCATTGGCCTAACCTGTTAATATTGTGATGTTCATCTTTTCACACACACATGCACTTGATACGCATGCATGCACATGTGTTTTATGTGGATAGATTAGTGATAGATACTTATTGTGTGCCAGGCACTTAAAAACAGCCAATTGTGTAGTCCTTTAGCAAGCACATCGGAGCTGAGAGGCAGCTCGGAGGCAGGGGCTCTCTCAGTTTACACAGTGCATTGGGTGCATCCCCAGCATCACAGTGAATGGATGAATGGAACAGAAATGGCGCAGAGGGAGTTACAATTGGTATCTCCACGTTACAGATAAGCAAATTGAGTCGGAAAGTTTGAGTAAAATCTACACGTGATTGTAGGGTTTGAATTCCCAAACCTCTAAATTAACTGCCTGTGCATGTTTGTAGGCAGAGTGGCTGTGAAGTTTATAGGCCATGTACAGAGACCTTTGAAAGAGAAAGAAACAATATTATAAGCAAAATGAGCCAACAAGTTTAACCTGAAAACATGACACCTTATCCTCCCGTGGTTTGAGAATGTGTACTCTGAAGCCAGATCATCTGAGCTTGGATCTTGGCTCTGCTGCAGCATGACCTTAGATCAGGTCTTCAATGTATTTGTGCTGTGGTGTGTTCTCTCCACATACAATGGAAACAGTAGTGACTGCACCCAGCACCTGAGGAAAGGAAGAGCGCTAGGGAATAATCTTGTCATGGAAAATGTCTGAAGTTTACTGCTGTGCAAGTGTAGTGATGCAGATACCACTCCACAAAACAAGTATGGATTAAGTCCAATCATCCATGTATCAAATCCTAGTTCCATAATTCAGTCTGCCAATGCTGAAAGTTACATTTTTTCTGCTTTATTGAACTATCTTGTTAACCTAACACTTGGTGGTGGGGGTCATTCATATTGGTACACACAAGTCTACCTCATTCCTTATAGGGTAGATATAATCATTTCTAGTTGACAAAAATTTAACTTCCAAATTTTAATCATGTATCCCTGTTACATTTGGGGGCCATGGGCTACAGGACGTGTGTGGCAGCAGGAGAACAATCAGTGTGAGTTCTGTCTCCCACTGCGTAGGTTCTGGAGATCAAGCTCAGGCCTTCAGGCTTGATAGCAGTGAGCCATCTTACTGGCCCATTTTACAGTTTTTCAATCCCACTCATTCATTCATTCAATAAATTATTTTGAGCCCCTACTATGTTCCAGGCAGTGATCTGGCTACTAACGGACAGGAATGACAGAGTTCCATTTTTTTTGTGAAACTTTCGTTCTGCAGTGAACACCTTTAACTTTTCACGTTTATACTGGAATGTTCTGTATGACAGATGCCCAGAGATAAAATTCCTGGGTAAAATGAGATATTGTGCCTGCCTTAGATAGGGTTTATATTGCTATGAAGAGACACCATGACCACAGCAACTCTTATAAAGGAAAACAATTTAACTAGGGCTGGCTTGTAGTTCAGAGGTTTAGTCAATTATCATCATGGTGGTTCACAGGCAGACATGGTCCTGGAGAAGAAGGGGAGAGTTCTACATCTGAATCAGCAGACAGCAAGAAGAAACACACACACACACACACACACACACACACACACACAGAGAGAGAGAGAGAGAGAGAGAGAGAGAGAGAGAGAGAGAGAGAGTTGGGCTGGCTTGAGCCTCTGAAACCTTGAAACCCACCCCCACAGTGACACACTTCCTGCTACAAGGCCACACCTCCAACAATGCCGTACCTCCTGCTAGTGCCACTCCCTATGAACCTATGGGGTCATTTTCATTCCAGCTACCACAGTGCAGGCTTTAAGTTTTAATGGTTTTTGAAATCCAGATGTTTCCGAATCCCTTCTGAAATAGCTTTGTTATTTCACACCTACTCATCAGTCTACAGGGCCCACTTCTCCACAAGCTGACCACTCTTGAATGTCTTCAACTTTTTTTTTAATTATGAGAAAAATAGAAAAACAGTATCTAAGTTTCCCTATTTGCCAGCAAGTCCTTTTCCTCGTCTGTTTTTTTGTCCATTTAAACTTTGTTCAGATCTTCACTCTTTTTGTTGAATTACTTACTTATGTGTTTGGGGGGTTCTTTATGTTTCTAGATAATATTTACACACACATATACACAAAGCGCCTTACAGCCACATCGTTAAGACCTCTGCTCTGAGGACACAGTTTACTGACAACACCCTGAGTTTCATGATTATCCTGGGATTGTTTCTTATTTTGGCGCCCTTATCAAGAAACACAGAATGGCGGTTTTTATTTTCAAACCTAGCAAATCGGAAACGTTGATTCTGCCAATTCTCGATCCAGAATTCTTCCCTCTGTATCTGCACTTTCTCTTGTACAACCAAAACGATTAAAAAAAAAAAAAGACTGGACTCTTCAGCTTTAGGTTCCTGAGGGTGTTACTTTTGCAGTTGACAGGGTTGCCACATCTTATGTCACTTCTGCAAGGGACTGCCTTTCTATTGCCAGCTCCAGTAACCACTTCCTGTGTGTCCGTCAAGTCAACGTGAACAGTCTCTCCTTGAGACCTTTCTTCTGCGAGACATCCAGTGCCAGTGCTGATGTCACAGGGTCTCCAGAGAAATGGAAATAGTGTGTGTGGGGCGTGGGGTGGGTGGGTGAGTGGGTGGAATTGGTCCGTGTAGTCATGGAGGCTGGCAATCTGAAACACTTACAGTCTGAGATAATAGATTGGAAGCTATAGAACTGCTGATGCTACAGCTTAATCCTAAGACAGACTGGCATGATCCCTTTACTTCCTGGAACTTTAGTCTTTTTCTTAAAGCCTGGTAAGGTGTGAGCCACTAACAATTGTGATGGGTGATATCCTTCTACCAGTGATGTATTTTGAGCTCTCAGATTAAAGCTAAGCACACACTCTATGGATGAGTTACACCCCCTGCCCCATGGGAAGATGGATATCAAGGCTTGACTTTAAAAATGAAACTCAACTCTAAGTTGAACCAGGGACATTAAATGTAGAATATGCTTGAAGAATCACGTTTGGTTCCCCTTGAAGGCTACACATAGGAACTATCTTCTGGCTAAGATGGCCCTCAACAAGCTGAGAGACACACGTCCAGGATTCACCAAAGTGTGCACAGGCTGTCAGCACTGACAGTGGCTCTTGGTACCATGGGAGAGTGTTAAGTGTTCATGTGACAGTCAGGACTTAGAGTGTGTGAGGTGGTCGGTGAGAGCCTGGGAATGGGATGGAGATCCAGCACACAGAACAAGATGGGTCTCTGGAGAGGGATTTGGTTGGTATGACTTAAATCCCATGACTCTCACATCTTGGTGAAGATCGGCTTCCCCCATGGATTTTGGGGATGTCAGTCATTTATTGCGGTTACAGAAACTGGAGGTTCAGGTAAGAATACAGGGATATAAAGAACATGCATATGAAAGATCTCAGTACAGCCACAGGGAGTGCTGAGAGCCAGGGAGGTGGGGTTCTAATTCA